TGAATACCTCGTTTACCAACTTCGTGGCTACAGTTACTGCCTCTTGATTCGGTATGGCAAAGACCTCCGGCCATTTTGTAAAATAATCCATAACCACTAAAACGTAGCGATTGCCCGAATCAGTGATTGGAAATGGTCCAGCGATGTCTAAGGCTATTCTCTCCCAAGGCATACCAACATTGTAGATTTTCATCGCCCCTCTGCTTCTTGTTTGTGGACCCTTGACAGCTGCACAACTAGTGCATTTCCGGCACCAATCTTCGACGTCATATTTGCAATGCAACCAATAAAACCTCTCCTTGATCTTCACCAAAGTCCTCCTAATTCCCAAATGTCCTCCAGAAGATCCATCATGGAACGCTTTTAATACATCCCTTATTTTTGAACGAGGCACCACCAATTGCAAATGCTCGTCCTTGCCGTTTGTTGATTCCCATTTCCTGCACAGAAGTCCGTTATGCAGCGTAAGGCTTTTCCACTGTGCCCATAAACCTTTCGTTACCACGCTATATTGGGCGACGTCACTCCAACTTGGCTTGTTACCACTTCGTACCCACTCCAGTATTGGTTTAATATCTGCATCTCTTTCCTGTTCTAATTTCATCGCATCATCTCCCCATGCCTCGTCAACAGTATCAGTCCTTATCACCTTAAGAAAAGCAGTTTCCTTCTTGGCACAATGCTTGCAATCTTCCACGCATGGGCGTCTCGATAATGCATCTGCGTTGCCATGAATTCTTCCTCCGCGATGTTCGATATCAAAGTCAAATTCCTGAAGTTGTTCCAACCATCTGGCTACTTGGCCTTCGGGATCCTTAAACTGAAGCAGCCATTTCAAAGCAGCGTGATCAGTTCTGATCAAAAATTTCCGTCCCAGTAAATACTTCTTGAAATGGTGCAGAGTTTTGACTACGGCCAGCAATTCCCTCCTGGTCACGCAATAATTCCTCTCCGGCTTGGATAGTGACTTGCTGAAGTAAGCAATAACCTTCTCCTGCTCACCATCGCGTTGTGAAAGGACACCTCCTATTCCAATATTGCTGGCATCCGTATCAACTACGAATATTCCTTTCGCGCTGGGGTATCCGAGAATTGGTGTGTTACAAAGCCGTTCTTTTAGTTCTCGAAAGGCTTGCTCACAATCCTCGTCCCAGATAAAGGCACGTTTCTCCTCTGTCAATCGATGCAATGGCTTGGCAATGTCCGAGAATCCTTTCACAAACCGCCGATAATACGAGCACAATCCAAGAAATGCCCGAACTTGCGTTTTGTCTTTAGGTGTTGGCCATTCCTTAACAGCGACAGTCTTGGCTGGATCAGTCTCAATTCCTCTCTCAGAAATAACATGTCCTAGATAATTCACTTCGCGCTTGAAGAAAGAGCATTTTTTTGGACTCAACTTTAAATTTGCTCCACGCAGCTTGTCGAGTACCTTTTCCAATTTCCTTAGATGATCGTCAAAATCCCGTCCAACAATGATGATGTCATCGAGGTAAACTAGGCAGGTTTCGCCCAGCAGTCCCACCAGCACCTGTTCCATCAAACGCTCAAAGGTTGCCGGTGCATTGCATAATCCAAATGGCATCACCTTAAATTGCCAGAGTCCCTTCCCAGTTGAGAATGCGGTCTTTTCCTTGTCCTTGGGATCCAAATCCACCTGCCAATAGCCGCTTTTCAGATCGAGCGTTGAAAACCATTTCATGCCACTCAGTGTGTCAAGTGTGTCATCGATTCTTGGTAACGGGTAGCTATCCTTCTTGGTTACATCATTCAATCGTCGATAGTCTACGCAAAACCTCGTTGAACCATCTTTCTTCTTGACAAGCACGACAGGTGAACACCAAGGGCTAGAAGAGGGCTCTATCACGTCATTTTTCCTCATATCGTCAATCATTTCTTCAACCTCTTTCTCACGAGCGAATGGTATACGTCTGGGCCTTTGACGAATTGGCATTGTATCACCTGTGTTTATTTTATGCTTCACCAAACCAGTTCGGCCAATATCACCATCGCTTCTTGAAAACACATCAGAGAATCGAAGAAGTAAATTTCTAGCTTTCATAGTCTCCACTTTTGTCAGACTTTTGTTTTCGTCTAAGATTTTCGTTACAAAGTCTATTCCCGTACTGTCCTTCTTCACAAGATTTTCCGAGCATTTTCTTATCCAGGCCACTTCTTCCAATACGCCCACAGGCTCTCCTTCTTCAATCGTAATTTCTGAATCACTGAAGTTGAATACCGGAATGCGGTTAACATCAGATGACCCCACGACAGTTCTTGCCGGTAGCCATGAGTTTACGTGTTCCGATTTATCAATCACAGCGCACCTTCGAGGTAAACTTCCTTCCCTCCTCCTAGGTAATGCAATTGGTACGAGAGTCTGTGATTTTGGTGCAAGAACAGTTCTTCTTAAACAGCAAACTTTTCCCAGCAAACATGTTACACTGGTGCCCTTGCAGGAAGTCAAGTCCCAGGATGCAGTCATCCAGAATTTTGGCCACAATAACCTCATGTCGATAAACACGTTCCCCAATTTTGATTGTTACATGCAGTTTTCCACTTTCGGTATGCACTGGCCGGTAGCTGATTTCATTTGTAGGCCAACAATTGGTTTAAGGTGTTTCCTGATGTTGTGCTCGAGCAGCCGAACATTTATCACCGTCCTTGAAGCTCCAGTATCTAATGTTAGCTGACTGTTTTTCCCATTTACTTGACCGTCTATCACCAGAGTATTTCCATCGTTGGTTTGCTTGATGTAGATTGTTGGGGTTGTTCCACTACCAGCCGGCGCCCACCCCGCAGCCCTGGCTGGATTTAAGTTTCCCTGCTGGTCAGAAGTTGAGACCGCCGCGTCCTTGCGGTTCATCTTCTTCGGGCAGTCGCTCCGTATGTGCCCACGCTCTCCACATCCATAGCACATGAAGTTCCGACGGCGTGGAGGTACCTGCTCCGTTGTCGTCATTTCCCGCAGACGTAAGGTACGGGAGTTGCCACGCACGGCTTCCACTTCCAATGCATGGGCCAGAGCTTCTTTCATGATCTTGTGATGGCCCAGATGAACAGCAGCTCGTACTTCTGGGTCCCGAATACCGTCAATGAACGCTTGGAGAAGCGTGCCTTCAATCATTGACGGAGTCGACCGGAAAGCTCGACGTACAAGTTTCTCGATTTCCACGGACCATTGCTGTAGGCTCTCATTAGCACGCTGAGTACGCTCTTTTAATTGCGCTCTGTACACGTGCTCGAGGTGGCTGTCTCCAAAACGTGCTTCAAGTGCGTCGAGGAGGGCACTAAAGCTGAGATCCCCACTTGCGCCGATAGCTTCCAGCACTGAGAGCGCTTGATCACGGAGGGCCAGGGTAAGGGCTGACTGTGCTTCCTTCTGAGTCCAACCATAAGCCTCCATAAGTGTCTCAAACTGTAGCTTGAACGCAGTCCAGGATGTTGTTCCGTCGTAATGGGGAATCTTGAGCCCTTTCGTTGCGCTTAAGGCCGCATTTGGGGCGTCAAAAACGGCTGCAAGACGGCTTCGGCTCTTCAAAGGGCTTGGGTTTGTCACTTCCTGCTTGATTTTGGAGATCTCTTCTTCCAGTCTCTCCTCTATCGCCATGACGCGAAGTTTCAACTTGCCTAACCCTTCCTCCACTTCTTGTACCCGTTCGACAGCCTTTTGCAGTCCCTTCGTGAAATCTTTATGCATGTCCTCCAAGCGACGCGCTTGCTCCTCTTGGCGACGAGCTTGATCTTCTTTCAGCTCCCGCAGCTGTTCTGACTGACAGCGTGCTTGCTCTTCTTGGCGGCGCGCTTGCTCTTCTTGGCGGCGCGCTTGCTCTTCTTGGCGGCGCGCTTGATCTTCTTTCAGCTCCCGCAGCTGTTCTGCCTGACAGCGTGCTTGCTCTTCTTGGCGGCGCGCTTGATCTTCTTTCAGCTCACGCAGCTGTTCTGCCATCATTTGCCGCAGCTGTAGCAGAAGATCCATCTGCACAGGCTTGGCTTCTGCATCGCTGGTCTGAGCTGCAGCACCCTCTTCCCTCACACGCTGCGCTTCTGACATAGCACGGGTACTCACTCCTCTTACGTCCTGCGGCACTAGCGGCATTTTTCTCCAATCCCACTTCTGACACCAAATGTTACGTGCCTGACGTCACGTTCCTGACTATGCGGGCTTGGGTTACGGGATTGGATGAAATGAAACACTAATACCGGTTTTCAGACTTTCTATTGCACTTAAGTTACAGCGTCCACGGAGTTAAGTTATCGGCGTTCCTCTCCAGCAGAGTCCGGCCGACTGACACAACTTTGCCGTTCACGCTGACTTAACTCACTTAACTGACTGCACTTCACTATTTCACTGCACTTCACTATTTCACTCACTTTTCTTCTTTCTCACTTCTTCCTTTTCTTCCGAATCGCTTTAGACTTAGAACTCAACTGCCAGCGGTGAGCCGCAGTTCCGGTTATATACCCCCGGTCAGGTTCTAGAACATTCAATTTCGTTATTCTTTTTGATCGTCATGCCTCCAGAACCTTCCAATAATTTCGTTATTCATTTTTATTTATTCTCCTTCTCGCTCCTTAATTTTTCATTACTTTCACTCAAATATTCCAGAAAGTTCGACAAAACTTCCATCAACTAAAAAACTTCATGTTTACGGCGGGACTCGAACTCGGGGTCTCTGTGGTGTAATCCACACGCCTTACCGATTACACCAACTCGTGTTGACAATTCACGACGAAATTTACAATCTCTAGGCAACGTTTGACAACCATCCATTGACGTCATGATGTCAAAGAGTTTTCTGTCACACTATAGACTGCACGGTTGGTGCGACTGGCTGCCGTGCAACGTGTCGCGGGTTCGATACCCGCACGGAACAACACTTTGTGTGATCCACAAATTGTTGTTTCGGGTCTGGGTGTCATGTGTATGTGACATTGTATGTTTGTAAACACACCTTTTCTTCTTTATTAAAAATAAATAAATAAAACTGTTAGTATACCTGATAAGATTCCTAGGGCTGCTCCGAACCTCTTGTTAGGATCTCTAAATGGTGTTTTGTAATCCCCATTATCGTCGACTCCACCCAACTTGTCCAATGCTGCCTCCTTAGGCAGGTGGTAGTTATTGAACATGACAAAACTAAAAAATAAAAAAAACATCTAAATAGTACAATTGCCAAGTCATATTATTAAGATCCACCGTCAGATAGCACCCAGTATCCATAACTACATATTATAAAAAAAGTATTTTTATCAGTCCCTATATCTAAAAAAGGTAAAAGCATACATAGATATGCTTAAACCTTTAAAACTACGTAAAGAATTTTAATGCGGTTTTCTTGATAGATAGACTGATAGAAGAGGAAGTTTAATATGTATAATAACATCCATGAAATAGTGGAGAAATTTTGTATACGCATTGCACTCATGTGAAGCCAAGTCGCCAGCTAAGTTTAAATAAATCATACATACCCATTATCAACTCCATTGAGTCCAATTTTCTCTCCAAGGTCACCCACAATGACCCCAGGGTATGGTTTCAAAGTTTTGGGGTCTCTGATAGGAACGACGAACGTATGAAGACCATGGTTCTTCCCTTTCGATATCAACATGGCGTAAACAATCGCGTGAGTTGCGCATTTTCCTGAAATTTACGAAACAAATCAAGTTCCATTATCCATAACAATATATAACCTAATTATTATGTTTTCGGCTTACTCACGTAATAATTTGACGAGATACTCGACTAGTTTCAAGCCATGCTAGAGGCCCATATTCATGAGCAGCATTCCGCAAATTATTACGTGAGTAAGCCGAAAACATAATAATTAATTTAGAATGTCTCACGAAAGTTATAATAAAAAAATATAACCAAATAAAGTTACTGAAATAAAAGAATAGAATCATTAAAGGAGTTATGCCGTCCTGGTTGTGGCGAGATGGGTGTCAGGCTCTTACTAAGTAAAACTGACAATCCTAATTATCTATACTAATATTATAAATGCGAAAGTTACTCTGTCTGTCTGTCTTTTATTCATGCCTAAACTACTGAACCGATTTCCTTGAAATTTGGTACAGACATAGTTTAGAACTCGACAAAGGACATACCGAGGATAGTTTTTATATCACCACACCACACCGCGAACGGAGTCGCGGGCAAAAGCTAGTTAAAAATAATCCCTAAACATTTTACAATCAAAAGAGTCGATATAACATATTTGAATTTATTGAATGTGAGGCATATTTTAAGTAAAATAATCCCTAAAAAAATAATCCCTAAACATTTTACAATCAAAAGAGTCGATATAACATATTTGAATTTATTGAATGTGAGGCATATTTTAAGTAGGTACAGTTATTTATATTTAAACAAATGTAAATGCGGCTTTTGTTTTCTAATAGAATCAACAGTTTTAAAAGAAGTTATTTATAGATAAATAAACATGACACTGTTTAAAGTAAAACATTCCAGAGTCCTGGTTTGAGCTGTTGTTAAATGTCTAAGAAACATACATTAGCAGGCATTTTTGCTAACCTCACCCTATTTGGCGCAGCCTTGAGACACGCAGTGATTTTTTTAAATTTATTTTTTGTCTATTACTGTTTAATATGTGATTTTCTACACTGTGTGTCTGTTTGCTAAATAAATATCTTACTTTCTTTCATACGAAATTATTTTCTTTTTATCATCATTGTTTCGTGCTAGTGTTCAACTCTGCGATACGGGTACGTTCAAAAATACAAACTCAAATATTGCAATGAAATCACAGCACGATCAATAATATTAAAACAAAATGAAAAAATTTTTTCCTCGCCTATAGGCCTCGATAGATGGCGTTAGGATCGAGTTAGAAGACGTTAATTTCGTTAATGTGAAACAAACACTATCATTACATTTTTCTTAAGTATATTACACGTCTTTAAGATTAAAAATAACATGTTTTAATATCTGCCCTCTCTAAAGTCGATTTTCCAATCTTCGTTCAAACACATTCTACCATACGCGGAACAATTTATTATTCAATTAAAGTAAGCTGTTATCACCGGACTCACCTAACGACCCAACCCAGCACTTAGCAGCCTCAAAGTCAGCACTATGCATGACAAACTGTCTCTTCTCCGGGATATAAGTGGCTGTGGTCCTCATTCCCTTAGCATTGGACCCGTGGGACACCTCAGTTAAGGCGAAACAGCCGCCAATCTTGGCTTTCTCCACATCTTCGATAATGGGGTAGTGATGGCTCTTCCCGTTGCCCTGGATAGCATTACTGAACATCCTGAAGGTCAGGGATACTTTCACTGCTAGGGAACTGTCGAACATGAATAAGGCTTCGCTTTCAGCTTGGAATGTTTTAGGGTCTTCGGCGATCTGAAATGTATATGCCTCGTCAGTGTTTGTGTCATGATTGTCTTTGTCTATAAGGGGTTCGTAATTGCACAGAATGGCATTTATACAATCCCAGCCCTCCTACTAATATACAAATGTGAAAGTTTGTGAGAATGCATGGATGTATATTTGTAAAACGGATGGACAGATTTCATTGAAATTTGGTATGTAGATAGGTGATACCTACCATGGATTAACGCAAAGGCTACTTTTCATCCACCACGCGGGCGACGCCATGGTCGGAAACTAGTATAGGTACACCTAATGTACATCCACATTTGTGTGTTTGTCCACATGTAGCGACTAGATGTTATGCACCGCATAGGTTTTCCAATATATCAAACTCCATGCGACTATTGAGACACTTCCGAAAAACCGACAGATTCACGATATTTTTTATGTACATTTTTACCCCACACAAGGATTTTAGGTCCGGAACAATAATTGATGGATCACACAAGTTGTTCCGTGCGGGAATTGAACCCACAACATTTTCAACTGAGCAGTCTTTCCGTTCTGTGCCATACCAAGGTCCTCTGCTTTATAGTCGCACTAGTGACCATCCAACCAATGACAAAATGACAAATACATATATATGGACGAATAGACAAGGATGTAAAAATAAACGATTTTAAAAGTTCTCCTTAGCACGAGAGCCTCGTTGCCTAAGTCTAAGTCAATGTCAAAATCAATAATTCCAACTAAACCAGAAATAAGTACTTAAATACTTTTGAAACGTCAAAATAAAATAGTAGTCTGTCAGTCTGTTCAAATTGTAGATTCGAATGGAGAAAAACGAACCAGAAACTCCATCATTAAACTCCTAAACCTATCTCCAAAAATTTAGAACTTAGCTAATAAAAATTTGGGCATATAATGCGCGGTCTTCTGATAGGAGGTACCATTTTCAATACATTGATTAGGCAAATAGCCGCGTGATAGGTATATTATGCTATGCGGGTCCCGCCCGCAAGGTCAAGAGCAATATATACCTATCACGGCCTTGCCTGGAGCAGGAGAAAGACTGAGCTGTTTTTTAGTCAGTAAGAATCTAACAGTCCCTGAGTACTTCAGACAAATCAGAACTCTAGAGTAGGGAATTATTCAATAGAATAACATTAATTATTGCCAATGATATTAACTTTATGTATACTATAGATTCACGGGCAAGGTTCATATATTCATTTTATACAAGTACACCCGTTTTGCATTCAATGAAATGGGTTATTTATGCAGGCCCTATTTAACCTTTTACAGGGTGACGTGCCAATTATGCATTACTAACCAAGGGCGTTATCCAACACATACACAAACATACATCAACATTCATATGACGGTAGAATAGCGTAAATTTCTTCTATTGATTTCATGTTTTTTTATTGAATAATTCTGCCAACGAGCTGACTATTTACGTAAGCAATCAGCATACATTTCTAGAGAAGTTACGAGTGCGTTGCCGGCCTTTTGAGTTTAAGTGTGGGAGACCCATTCTTCGCCACGAATGGGTCGGCTCGATGGTAGTGATACCACGGCCACACAGAAAACCGGAGTGAAACAACCACATCGTTGTGTTTCGCCGTTTGAGTGAGGTAACCGGAGGCCCAATCTATCCCCAATCCCTAAATCTCCAAATCCCTAATCCCCAAAAGCTCGGCAACGCACTCGTAACTCCTCTGTTGCGGCGCTGATTGCTTACCATTAGGAAATCCGTCTGTTCGTTTTCCGACCTATTACATACAAAGAAAGGGCTTAAAGTCGAAATAATTTGATTTTGAGTGAGAAAATTAGCGGGTTTTATAATCACTGGGACCCAGGGCTGATGCTGGGACGGTGCGAGCGAGCGGTGACCAAACCGAGCGCCATCACGGCGAGGGCGCCAAAACGAATCGAAACCCGCGATAAACGACGCGAAACTGCGCTTGCGCTTGCTTAATGAATTAAAGGCGCTTTTTTATGAGAGCCATAATTATTTCTCGCACCACGGAATAATCGGAAGAGAATCGGTATAGTGATACATTACAATGCGAATACAACTGGTGTAGACTGGCTTAAATCGTCTATTCGTATTTTTACTAAATACCTAACGCATATTATTTCGTACAATGTACAAAGATTAATACAACAAGTTAGTGACCTCTGCTATGAGCAAGGGCACTGACCGAAATTCAAGTAGCAAAGACTTGTACACCTATTTATATTATGTAGGTATATATTTTTAAAATTGAAAACTATTGTTAATCTGAACCGCATATGGTACGGTATATTAGATTTTCTTACTTTATAGACACTTTCGCAATGATTTTACTGCACAGTTGGCGGTGTGAGTAGGAAATTGGCTGCTGTGCAACGTGTCGCAGATTCTCTTCCCGTACGAAATAACAATGGTCATGGTATTTTTAACATGAAAACACATTAATATTAATGAATAGACAAATAATGTAACAAATCGGCTTTACATTTTTCATTACAAAAGCGCGGGAAACAGTTTTTTTTTCTCTGACAGTACCGAGGGTTTGCGCGCGTTAAAAATGGCGTAGGACGAGTGTTGCCCGCCCTCGCTTAGTAGGATTTTATTCCTATCAATATGACGTGTATGGGGATACGACACAAAAGAAAACATAAATGGGGGGCCACATTTAAGAAATGGAAAAACAGAATTGAATATTAGATAAATTAATTGTTATCAGTAATTTAATAGACAAAATAAATAATGTAATAGTTGAAAGAATACTGTATCTAAATACAATTCTACTAACTAAAGATAAAATTATTGTTTTTATGATTTTTTATCATAGCTTATCCTATATCTACTATGTTACATACATATTTTACTAATACCAATTGGCAATAAATCTAAAATTTTCAGAATATTTTGTGCTCAAGTGTATGTTAGAGTTTGAAAACATTAGATTTCATATTAACCTAATTTAATAACAAGTAAAAATTATGACATAAAAAGCTATGTATACTGTACTTCAGTACTCTAGCAGGTTTTTAAACAATGTAATACCAGGATAAGTATAAAAAGAGAGAATAATATTTATTCTGAGATAGTAAGGCAAGCAAGCTGACAGTTCTGTATCATCAATGGTGAGCAATCAGTGCCACCTTGGATACCCTTTAGGGATTTGAGGATTCATGAATTCTGGTATTGAAAATGAGGGAGTATGTTTCACCAAGCTTTTATATGAAGCCAATTATTTGGGTCCTTGTTTTACTCTGGCCTAACTGGCCCATTCATGCCGAAGTACGGTTCTACGACATTTTAAAAGTAAAGGTACTAAGACCTTTATTTAGGGTTTCAATTATAGAGACACTAGCTTTTGCCCGTGACTTTGTTCACGTGGAAAAGTTACTTCCTGCAGATTTTTGGAATAAAAACTATCCTATGTCCTTTCTCGAGTTCCAAACTATGTGCACCAAATTTCACAGAAATCGGCTCAGTAGTTTAGGCGTGAAGAAAAGACAGACAGACAGACAGACAGACAGACAGACAGAGTTACTTTCGCATTTATAATATTAGTTAGGATCAGTTTCAATGTGCATGTAGAAGGCAGAATAAGACTAGAATTGTTGAAACATGTAATAGATAAAAGAAAATATTATTTACTAACCTTTTCAAAGCGCAAAAACTGTTCATTATAGATTGTGTACATCCGCTTTGTGGCAATATTCCTCTCTTCATCCAAAACTCGAGTTGCTTCAGTGTGTTTGAACAGTGGATGACTCTCCATAAAACTCCAAATGTCATGCTGCAATTTATAATTAAAAGTTAACAATAAATTAAATTTTTTAATTGAAATATCAACGGTGAAGTACCACCTAACAGATATTTTTCTAGGGACTCACTTTTTTTATTATGTACTAAATGCCATAGTATTTTTTGTGTTGTGGTATGATGTGTCAATAGAATGCTCATGCAATCAAATAAAAAAACGCTGTAACATGTGAAAAGCCCCTCTAGGTAAAAAATTACTAAAACTCAAAGTCTAGATTGTTCTGTGTGTAGATAAGTTAGTGGGTATTGGCACTTCACCATAGATATTCTTTCAGTAGATTAATAAAAACTGGAGAGAACCCAGTATTATTATAGTAATATAAAGTTAGATAAAGTTACACCTCAACAATTTGTAATAATAGTGTTTAAGGAGAAAATAAAGATATTATTATTACTGTCCATTACATGTTAAGTGGTTAACCCTGATCTGTACCTCAAGTCTAAAATACATTTATGAAAAAAAATATTTTTATTGAAATAAGTAACTTTTTTTCTAATACTCATGTTATGTAAATGTGTATTAGATTTAATAACAAATATTAATGTTATTTAAATATGTTGGGTACACCCATTTGCATAACAAATGTACCAATAAATTATAAAAAAAAAACTGACATAACACTTCAACTTATGAGGAACCTTTACAAAAAATCATTTAAACAGATTTTTAAATTACATTATAAACAAGTGGCTTAACAAAATAAGAATAGGTAAGGTGAAATTTTTCAATTGCAAACTTACTTTCAATTTTAATGTGTTTAAGTTGTCATAAGCCAGTTTCATGCGTCGCCAGTCGAAAGTCGCTTTTTCCCGGTATCTGTCCAAAGGACCTTTAGGCAGGTCTGGTAGATACAACTTTAACTGTTCATCAACTCCTTGGTCCTTCGCCATTTTTCTATCTTTATTAAATAACTTGCCAAACCACTTCACTTAGCGCCGAGGACTTTAGAACTGCGGCTATTCAAATCGGGGTACAAAGTCAAAGTTTTTATCGAAGTTTTATGACATTAGAATTTTATCTGTTACTATGGTTTAAAATTTTATGATAAAGACAGACACACAGAGAGATGATTAAATGATTATATGATTAACAAAAGGAAAACGTAATCAGTTTCTTGTTATCGGGATAGTGACTTCAAAATATAACTCCAACGCAGCGCAATCAAAGTCCGACGCCGCAAGTTGACTGACCCACATCAGTAACTTTAGTCAACAACTTTCACTAGTAAACTTATAAAGTTGTTCTCGAAGATCTATAGGCAAGTCAAATTGACTTTTTGTTTATTATAAGTTGTCCTAAATTTGGGAATGATAAAGTACGTCGATATACGTACTTTCGAAAAACTACGATAATTATATCAACGTAAACAACATCGTAATTCTGCTTGATTAACTAGGTATCTTGACAACGACAGCTGATAAGTCTCATTGTCAATAATAGTGTTGTTAATGTACGAATAGTTGATAATTTTTAGACTACTTAATTTTTTCGCTAGTCGAGTGGTAGCAGGCGTCACTATCGATTTGGGGGACTAAAGTTTTAAGTCACCGCTAGTAATAGATACTCAAGTATCCAAGAAATTTTATTATCTACTATACCTTATAAGCCATAGGCGGATGTCTGGCTAGGATGAACTTTTAGCTGAATGGCATTCTTGATGAGTTTTTTTTAATCAAGGGCTGCAAGTTTTATCGGTTTTGGAACATGGGCATGGTTTGAAGTGCCCAATTACTGACATAATCATGGCAACTTTGTTTTATTTAAACTGTTTGAAACTTTGAACCCGCCGCCCATTGCGTAATGTGAGTGAAGTATGATGTTGTCTTTGGCAATACGAACGTAACATTATGTTAAATAACTTGATTGTTTTCCTTCTTGTGTTGACCTTGTGGATCCAAGCTAGTTATTCGTGTGTTGTGTTGCGTTGTTTAGTGTTGCAGTGCTTTTATGTTTGTGTTTGTGTCTCCTGCTCCTGCTTAGCGGGCTTTCAATGAAGAAGAAGTTGCGGTACATACTTTTATGTCACGGGCTTCGGGGTAAGCCTTGTGTATTGGGTGCATAATTTCAGAAGTGGCTAACGAGAAGTCGGAGGACCTAATGGTAGGTATGAACACGGCGCCGTTCGTGAATATTATTACATTATATTATAATAATTACATTGTAATGGGAGAGCCATGCTTACGCACGAATGGTTGGCTAGACCGAAGTAAAATCACAACCCCACAGAAAACCAGCTTGAAACAACCACAGCATTGTTTTACCGTATGAGTGAGGTTACTGAAGGCCCAATCCTTCCCCTCCCCAAGCTTCAAAACCCTAATCCCCAAAAGCTCAGCAATGCACTCGTAACCATTGTTGCGGATGTGCATGGGCGGCGGTGATTGCTCACCATCAGTCCGCTCGTTAGCCAACGATTCATGTTGCCGGCCTTTTGTGGCTTATTAGGAATATAGGGGGTTTGAGGTTTGAGGAGAGATAGATTAAATTTTTACTTTGAATGTGTCAAAAACTAATTTGAGAATCAGCTTGAGAACCATAATTCTTATAATTTTCCCCCATAAAATTGCCGCAAATCGACTACAGAATTTTGTTTCATTATCAATCTACTTTTTGTCGATACGTTCCAGCACTACTATCGCATGTCGACAACCTTTTGACGCAGTCAAAACTTGACACTGTCATTACAATAGATAATGAAACACTTACGGCTTGCAGGATTTTAGGAATCTTGTCTTAAACATAACATAGGAAGTTGCTTTCTCTTTTGCTCTCTAAAAATTCCGTTTGTGTTGTCCCTTTCATTCAAACTGTATGATGTCAGGTTTTAACTAAATAGGTAATGGAATGTCGCCAAAACCGGAAAGTTAACAGTTTCTGTTTTACTATATCAAAACAAACAAAGTAGAAAATTGAATACAGAGCGATCTTGAAACAAATCGGTGCTTCTATCACAATGAATTTGGGTACGTATGTTGTTGTTGTAGTCTTAAATACTTAACTTCAAAAAAATAACTTATTATGTGTAGGTACAAATAAATTGTTAAGTAATGGTAGTTGCTACTAACTTTTTTTTCCGGTAGCTATTATAACAAAAAAAATATTTTAGAAAGTCTAAAGAAACTATTTATATATTACATTTGACTTAAATTTGTAAGTAATTTTATATACCATTTTGAATCAGATGTAACCTACATAAAGGTTATAAAAAGTTTAGATAACTTTTGATTACACTTTAAGTTTCCTTAAGTATATAATTTTTATAGTCTGTGACGACACATTTGAGCTTATGGTTTAATTTTACGGTTTATGATTGACTACAAGTTTATGTATCTACCGTAATTATTTAGTCTGTTGTCTTAGCAAACCAAAGTAGATTTGGTTTCTTCTATATGTGGTATTGCCATTTCTTCGGTTCTAAGCAATTTCTGAATCAAATATTTATTTATTTATTGCTATGTACACCGTTACAATTAACATTCAACTTCATTTTCAAATATTTGTTGCACATTTTAGAAATTTTGGTATGTATTTGTTGCCTATCAACGGGTTCAACTTTTCACTTCAAATTTTTTTTACTTTACCTATTTATTATCACTTTCTCATTAAATTATTTTAATTTATTAGAAGTAAATAAATAATGTGAAATAAAATATTCAAAATCTTCTTAATAATACTCAAATTAACTTTTTTTGTAGTATATAGTGTTAATATTCTATAATGCTATATTATTAATTTCCTAAAAGTAAGATTATTAAGAATGAATACCTATCTTTTAAATCATAACTCTTTAGACAGCCTCCTTGGTCATGCCAAAGTTGACAGCGAACACCACTGGCAAACCTGTATCAATTTGGGGGTTTAAAACACGTAATAATAATATTTAACGATGCTAACTGTATAAAAATAATATTATAATTTTAAAGTTCTACACATAAACAAATTCAACATTGCTTAAACATTGGTATGTCGCATAAGTTCGCTTGCGCAGTAGCTGCGTAGTTGCGACGTAGTCGCTGCGTAGTTGCGACGTAGTCGCTGCGTAGTTGCGACGTAGTCGCTGCGTAGTTGCGACGAAGTCGCTGCGTAGTTTCGACGTAGTTGCGACGTAGTCGCTGAGTTGTTTCGACGTAGTTGCGACGTAGTAGCTAGTAGCGTAGCATAGCAGTAAGCAGAAGACACGTGGTAGGTGCGTAGAAGTGACGCATTATATGCGTAGAAGCGAAAAAGAGTTTAAGAATTAAAAAGAGAAAAAGAATTAAAAAGAGTTTGACACTCCCTCTTAAAAACAATCTAATAAGTACTTTTTTATTTTCTTAAAAACGTTGCCCACTAGGATTTTTCTCCTGTGTCGTGGGTGCTGTTTCATTGTATGTATGAAACATGACCCAGACCCGGAACAACAGTTTGTGGATCACACAAAGAATTGTTCCGTGCGGGAATTGAACCCGTAACACGTTGCACGGCAGCCAGATGCCCAGCCACCGCACCAACCGTGCAATCAAAAGAGATACTCAGACTGGGAAAATATATAACTGTGTTGTGTCGTGTTGTATCGCGCCAAAAGTTTATCGGTTTCATACATTTACCATGGTTAGACCCACACCACACACATGCGCGTTCGCGTTTTGTCAAATATTATGAAACTTGGACTCCGTTCGGGGGTCTGTTTTGGCGCAACACGTAACATCATGTAACAATAACATATTTCCACATATTTCGTTCTTCATTCAGAAAATCTACAGGGCACATTTTATGTTATGCAGATAATTAAACCCCGTAATATATGGACGTGACGATTATTATTATTATTATTATATACTTGAACACACTAGCAGCTTTGAAAGCTGATGCGTGCATATTAATGGATTTGGAGATTTTGTCGAGTCTGTTTTTAAAAGAATTAACTGTGCGTGCTTTTATCACATTTTCTGGGAGTTTATTCCATTCCGTGACCACCCTATTAGGTAGGAAGTGTGTCAAGGGATTCAGTTTTGAGGATGTTCTGCATAGTTTTAATGAGTGTCCTCTCAAATTTCGATTTTTATTAAGAAGATACATATTCTTAAGTCCAGGAACGTTGTAGCAGTCACTCATTACGATATATGACGATGTCTGATATTTTAAATTTTTACTACATGTTTATGACAAACTCAAATCGATAACAATGAATACAAACACAATCCCACAATTCCAATCTAGGTATACACAAATGCAATAAAACGATGCATACCAATATGGATACAATCGTTACTTCAATTTCTGCAAAAAAAAAACGCCGATCTTCAAACAACCTATTCCATAAAAACAATGGTGTACGAAAAAAAAAACAAAATGAAATCGTTGGTACGGCGCAGAGCAGAGACACTTAAAAAGCCAATCACGAAATGGAACCGATGCAATATGCACGTAAGCTATTAACTGGTGTACACTGATTCGCTTGTGTGGACTTCCACTCCATTCGAAAATCGCAATAAAATAAACCAACTCTTTTAAACCCTCTTTAATAATATGCAAAAAAATATGTAGGTACACGTTTTTGTTTGTAGAATTTTCGAAGTATTTTTTGTGGCATTCGCTACTTTAGAGTATTGGGTTCCAATTTTGAATGATTTGTTAATATGGATTACTGTTATTTGACTTGCTTGGATTGAGCACTCTCATGTCCTCGGGGATGTTCTTCTCGCCCTCTCGCTTTTGGGAAGCCGTCTCTTTCTGTGAAGTAGTTATGCAAATCAGGAGGTTGAGCGCGTGAGGGAACTTTTCTCCTCAGCCGACACAGTAGAAGACACTCCGGCCTCCGTAAGCGAGCGTCTGCACAGGGCGAGCAAGGGTAGCTCGCCGCTCGACCAGATTCAGATCCGAGCGAAAAGAACCAACAAAACAATTCCCCATGGGCCCCAGCAGGGATGATGTTCAGCCTGGGTTGCGGGGCAAGCGCAAGCAAGTACCGCGGCAGTCAGCTCCAGCATTACAATTAACTCGATTTCTTGTAATACGTACCGCTATAAATATAATACTGGAAGCAATTAGATTGTTTAAGGATCTCTTTAAGAAAATAAAGTTCTTAAACCACCAATTAACTTTATCCTATTAAATTCTATTCTCAAAAGCAATAGAATTACATTCCATTCTATTCAACAATTCTACCTTCCTAGCCCTTTGAGGTTGGAATGTAGGTACATATGTACATACAACGAAGTTGTTTGTTATGTATTATGAATTTTTGGAATACACATCGCAGTAATGACGCATGACAATCGGCCAATCACAATTATGTCAGTTATTTGATGAAGGCCTGTCAGTTTGTTCTGATACAATAGCGCTGCAATTTTGGTTATAGTAAACCAATTTTTAATACAAAAGGCTTTTATAGTAAATGTTTATGAATTATTGAC